TCTTTTCCAGCAGGTAGAGGAGCAGGAGTCAAAATGTCACTATCCCTCACCATCTCTGGCAGGCCAGGAGGAAAGCAAACTGCTTTGACAGTGAACAGCAATGCTCTACCCTGAAATGAGACGTGTCTGACCTCTGCAGTGACCAGCTTACTCCCTGAAATGCAACACTGATTGGTCTTATTTGTATGGCATGAACTACAGAACTCACCAATGATCCTAACATTCATTATTTTTATCTCAGCAAAGTTGGGAAACAACCCCACTGAGTTTGTTTCTAAATCTGTTCTTCTTATACCACCATGCAAGGGTCAGTCTCATCATGTGTTTTTTTTATTGCAATCACCTGAGTTTCTAGTATATTCAAGTACTAAACACTGAAGACAGGCAGCAATGGAAAGTGTTGTAAAGCAGGCTTTTTCTGTCCACGGCCTTCGCGTATAGCCCATCCTGCCACACAAGTCCCCTCACACAAAACCCAGATACTCAGAGGAGCATGGGCAGCACAATGCAGTTTTGTGAATGGAATTTGATCTTATAGGCATTCTGGGACTCACAGGCGCCAAAAAAAAATAGGGAGGTGAGCATGACTAGATAGTGCTTACAGATAAGCCTCATTTGACCGTAGCTTGACCAGTCTTAGGGGCAAGGGAAAAAGTAAACATAGGGTAATAAAACATAATTGTCTAACACTAACTATGCCCCATCTGGTCCTGTCCACGAGGGGATCACGCATACATCACGAGAGTTGTTTTTGTTTTTTTGTGGTTTCTTTTAACCTATATGTCCTTTCTGGGTTCTAGGACTGTGGCTTTTGGGGCATCTATTGAAATGTTGTTAACAATTCCCAATTATCATTCAGATTTTGTTGATGAAATATTTTCCCACATGTATAGTTCAGAAATATAATTCAGATTTGATATAGACTCCTTTTTAAATCAAGGTGAGGGTGGAGGCCATTTTTTTTCCAGTTTAGCTGACAACGTTCTAGTGTGTCTTTGTGTCGTTATCATTTCTAGATTTGTAAGTATTGCTTTAAATGTATTAGTTATTGGTTTAATTAATAGTCAAATTGTGTTAATTTCACTGTGTAATTCTGTAAAGTGTATCTAAGTTCTGTTAACCACGCTGTGTAAATTGTATAATTTTGTGTTGTACAAGCAGGTAGAGGAGCAGGAGTCAAAATGTCACTATCCCTCACCATCTCTGGCAGGCCAGGAGGAAAGCAAACTGCTTTGACAGTGAACAGCAATGCTCTACCCTGAAATGAGACGTGTCTGACCTCTGCAGTGACCAGCTTACTCCCTGAAATGCAACACTGATTGGTCTTATTTGTATGGCATGAACTACAGAACTCACCAATGATCCTAACATTCATTATTTTTATCTCAGCAAAGTTGGGAAACAACCCCACTGAGTTTGTTTCTAAATCTGTTCTTCTTATACCACCATGCAAGGGTCAGTCTCATCATGTGTTTTTTTTATTGCAATCACCTGAGTTTCTAGTATATTCAAGTACTAAACACTGAAGACAGGCAGCAATGGAAAGCAGGGCAATGTTTAGTATGACACGTCATTGCAGTTGTTTTCCTCACTTACCTTCATCACACAGAACTGAGCTAATCGAAGAAAGAGAAACATAAAGAGTTTCACTAAATCCCCCAAATTTTTCAGAAGCACGTTGTCTTGATCGTACTCGAATCTCATAGTCTCTTCCTAATTTCAAAGAATACAATGGAACCACTGTTGTGAGCATGGGCTCCAGCTACAAAGACAAAATGACGGGTACTTAGTTGACAAATACGAACATCTGTAGCCATATTTACTTATGTGGAACTTCATGTTTACAGTAAGGAGATATAGAGAGTATATGTCAAACTGCAAGCCTGTTCATTGTTCCAATACTATTCTACTGACGTCCCAATGAAAACAGTCTTGTTATAAATAACAGAACATACTGGAAATAAAGAGGTCACGGTGGAAGGGACCTTGATAGTACATCTAAGCCTGCCCTCAATGATGAAGCAGGGTTAGATATACTTTCCAAACCATCTCTGACTAAACTTTGCTACAGAGTCCACTCTTCAGCACAGATCTTGTGAACTAAACTTTTAAAAACTCTTTCTGTGCACAAACACCAATCTCACTGCATATCTTATAAGCACACTCATTTTAGGAATATTGTGTAAACCTCTCCTCCCAATCACAATGTAAATAAAATATGAGGGTAAATATGAATACTGGGAACAGACTTCATATATACAAAGATTAACCACAGATCTTCCTGTTTTGGTATTACCTATGTGCTGAACCCTCCCTTCCTTGAGAGTAGTTTCCTCCTTACATAATCTAGTTCCAACTCCAACATCAGAGTACAGGCAAACAATGAAAATGTGCTTTACATACAATTCCCTCTGATGGGAGTTATGCTGAATTTACGGTTGCAGAACCCAGTACTATTACTGGAAAAAGTGAATGTGAGTTAGAAAACCAGACAGCGCCAGACAGAGCAGAACAGATTAGCTTGAAATCATTTGGCAAAGACAGGATTTATGAACACACAGATTTGGATTAAGTTTGTGCTTGAACTCTGCAACCTAAATAAGCACTATGTTTGCATAATGCATACTTTAAAACATATTCTCTCTGTGGTTATGAAACTGTGATCTTTGGACCACAATTGCCTCTATAGATTGAAATACCTAGAAAACAAGACAATCAGGAATCAGAGCACTGAGAAAAGCGAGGGTCTTTCCTGTCTCCTGTGGTTCATAGATCAAAATTAGGAGAACCATGGCATTATGTCATACTGACTCTCAGCAGGCAAAGCCAATCTGGTTGGAAGGCAGCTGAGAGAAAACATAATCCTAAACTATCTTAAGCTTGCTTGTTTCATACAGCTGTAGAAATCCAGAATCTTTTCTTTTACGGAGAATAGTTTGGAGATCTCTAAGGATGGAAAGGACGGCTGTCGCGTCAAAAAATGGTCACAACCTCTCTAGTCTTCTCTAGTCCCAAAGGGCCAATGTAACCTCATACATGAGTAATGTTGTCCTGGGCAGTCAGAGAACACATTGAATTCATTCCCTTAACAAATTCATATAGGGAGGACAGTCTGAATGCTTGATGACAATGTAAAACTGGCCCTCTCCAGCAGAAATTCAACAGGAAAGGCTAGACAGCAGCAATACCATCTATCTTCCTTTGCACAGTTTTAATCACAGCATGGAAGCATGTCCTTTGAAATGGTGGTCAAAGCAAAAAAGGTAATACCATATGTGGCATGTAAATACCTTGCAGCATGGGCTACAACAGTGCCAGGCATATGTCTTTTCTCACTTTCAGGTGACAGTGTAAATAAAAAGTGGGCAACATTATCTCCACAAACAAGGACTGAGGGGACTTACAGGCGCTAAAATTTGACATTGTTTTGTTTTTGGGTGCAGTTATGTACAAAAATTCTACATTTATAAGTTACACGTTCATGATAAAAAGATTGCATGACAGGACTTACAAGAGGTGAACTAAAATACTATTAGGTTATCTTTTTTTACAGTGCAAATATCTGTAATAAAAATAATATAAACTGAACACTGTAAACTGTATTCTGTGTTGCAACTGAAATTAATATATTTGAAAATGTAGAAAAACATCTAAAATATTTAGATGCAGAGCTGCCACGATGGACCATTGTGAGCCAGGACTGCTCAGTCCCAGCTTGCACTGAGTCCAGCAGTCCCGGAGTAGCTTCAGTGTGCAGCATTGTGCTAATAGATATTTAAATCCCGGGCTTCATTTGCAACTCTACTTGCCCTCATTACCCTACCTAGCTCGAAATAATGAGCTAGTGTAGCCGTACCCTAAGATATTGTTTGTGACACAGAAAAAAATAAGTTTTTTTTAAAAAAGTGAATTTTAATTTGCTAGTATCCATAGAAAAAAGACAAAGTGACTAATTTCTATCTGAAACAAAAGGCAATTGCCAAATGAAAATTGAAGCAAATGGTAAAGATGCAAAGTTCCATTTTCAAGATTCAATATATGCAATGAAAAGAAAGGAAAACATAAAATACTAAAAAAAATTACAAACACTCTTTTAAATCAATGCATAATTCCAAGAATTTTCCACAGAATTGCATACAGAAGTACAGGTTGAACCTCTCTATTCCTGAACTTTCTGATCCGGCAATATCCGTGGTCTGGAATGATTTTAGTTAGCTGGATGTCTACTTTTCATGCGTGTGGCCATTTCCTGTGGTCCCATAAAGTTTGTTTACAGCCACTAGTCCTGTCTTTCAGTGTTCTGTGCTGTTCTTTAGCTCTAATTTACCCTTAAATGTTCTCTAACAGCCCAGTAAGCATGGAAGTGTTGGTAATGCTGCTAGACAATATTGACCTCCCATGGTCTGGAAAATTCTCTGGTTCAGAACCAGTCAGGTCCCGAGAGTGCCAGAGTAGAGAGGTTCAACCTATACATAAGCAATTTTAAAAGGTCTAACCCACATGTATAAAGCCTATAAACTGCACAGACTAACTTGAAAATCTGATATCCTGGCATCAAACTAACATTATTCAGCCAGAAAACAAAAACATAGATAGAATATAATAGCTTTTTTAAAACAGCTAAAATTTAGGAAATTAATAGGAAGATTATTTTATTACCAGAAAATCTGATATCACTAATAATAATCATATTGTACATTTATCCACCAGAGTCACTAAGACTTTCATTATCATATGCGCCTATTACCACTTCATTCATCTTTAAGATGTAAACACTTTTGGGGCAGTAAGTAGCAGATATCCTGCACTGAGAAGTCCTCCACTCAGCAGGACCAAGAAGGGAAAGGGAAGGTTCATTTTTCTAATTTAAGTAGACAAAAAAAAGCAACTTGTTGAACTGGAATTTGGTCCTAATATCAGGATCAAATATCTCTTGTAAAACATGGCACAAAATGTTTACCAATCACACAAGTTATCAGAAGCTTGGTTTTATGTCTTATGTGAAAGGCAGGGCCTCCAACAAAACATGTGCAATTTAGTTCAAGCTTAGAAAGAAGAGTAAAAACTGCTACATAGCCAATACTATCTGGATTTTCTTTGGTAATTTCCAATCCAAATGCTGACCAAGTCCCACAGTACTTCACTTATGAGCTCTTACAAAATCACAACCAAGGATGGCTTGCCTACAGGTTGTAGAGAAATATTTATATTACTTGTTAAAGGCTTTGGGTATATTACCTAATTGTACAGGAATTTCCTTTCTTTCATATTAGCAGGATAAATGTCTTAGGGCCAGATTGTGGCTACTGAATCACTGTCCATACCAGGGAGGGTTTATGGAGAGAATTACCAGGAAAGAATTCAGGAGAATGCACAATACAATAATTGTAACTAGTGCAGGATAGGTTCTTCTCCATGCCTTGCTAGCTACACTGCTCGGTGTTGACTGGGAGCAGGGCAAAGGCCCTACCATCACTCTGCCCTCTTTCATTTGGCTATTAGTAGTACTATACAACAGGAAGCACCTACTAGCTGCCCCCTGGTGGTGTAAGTAGAGGTGTATTCCTTTCAGAACCAGGCACAAGTGAGCTCTAAGTATACTTGTTTAGATATTAACATTTCCTTCATGCCTCCCTCCATTTCGTCTCATTTACTTCTTTGTACTGCAGTTCATACTCCAGTGTAATCCATCCCTTCTGTACATCTGCTGATGGCGGTGGGTCCCATCTCACTTGGATGTCTGCATGGATCCTGGTCAGGCTGGTGTTCAGTAGGGTCCAGTTGAGACCAACAGGTGGATCAGGTTGCACTGTTCATTTAACAGAGTATTGGAAATAGAACAGTTTTCAGTCTGAAATCACTATTTTTGCTAAACACTGTTCACAAATGAAGAAATATTTGAACCTCACATGCAGTAATTACAGTCTCAACCTACAAATTAGTATCAGCATGATTGAAGATTTGATAACCTGTTACATTTTCATCTGAGCTAGACATTTGGTGCCTAAATCTCAGAGGGTCCATCCCACAATCCTGATGCAGGCAAAACTCCTGCTGACTTTGAAAGTAAAATCCTGGCCTCATCAATGTCAATGGCAAAACATTCACCCTAAAATTCCATAGAGGTTTAGGGAAATCATATATGT